GTGACTTTGTAAATCCGAGATTGGATTGAGAGAAAAGGGCTGGGCCAAGCCTTGATTCAATGCATCTCTCCGGGTTCACTCGATACAAAGGGTCTAAGACCGCACGGGAATGCATCAAGTCAATTCAGGATCATCAACATTTCTTAGACCTTGATCTTAAAGAGAGAGCCTTAAAGCGGTGACTTCAGCGACTTGCTCTCATTCTTTGCTCGAACAAAGGACTTAGCTGACTGGTCGCACTCAATAATGCTAGTTTAGTTGGCTTCCTGCCTTGATCGACAGCGCACTCTGGGGGATTTCCTGCTGGTGCTCTTCCAACAAGGGATCCTGTTCATCCACTCAAGCGCATTGGATCGTTGGTTAGCGTGGGCATCTCACTCCCTCCAGCATTGCGAATGTCACATTGGGCCGAGTGAACCCCTTTTGATAGACGAGCTTAAGCTAGGTTCAGAAGAGATAGATGGGTGTGTAGAATGTGATACCTCATTTCGATGCATAGCCCTTGAATCAGTATGGGGCTGATTGAAGCCAGGAGGAGGGGCCCTTCTTACAGCCCTAGTCTCAGGCCCGATGCGAAGAGATAAGCTTATAACGATCTCAACCTTCAAATGGGTTGTCTTTCCACTAATGGAGAAGGAGCAAAGTAACGTAGTGAAGGTGGTAGGGCATGGCCCATCACACTGTTGGATTCTCCCGATCTTTGATGAGCGGCCCTTCATTCAAAGACTTCACCAAAAGCAAACTCTCGATCAGTGAGCCATGGAGTTTATGCTTGCCTTCTGAAGCAAATGCCCTAGCCCCATCCAAAAGGCTCTTTCTTCGGGCTTCTTTAGCTAGTTCTACCATAATAGGATTGGTCCACCGGATTGCCCATGCCAGCTCTTCCGTGTGCTTGTGCCAGCGGAGCTTTCCCACGATCGGCAGGAGAATACATGCCAAGGTGCTTAATTAATGCGCAAAACAACTCCCTCTAGCTCTTCCCATGAAAACATTACTATTATATATAGGAAAAGCCAATAGCGGTACAGGAATTCCTACTAGAGAGATTAACAGGGGACTTTGCTACTCGCTCGTAAGAGACAGGGACTTTACCCTTTACCTTTCGTTCAAAAGATTACTCACTTAAAGACCGGGGAAAGACTCCCTATCCTGCTGAAAGGTCTGCAAACTATAACCTAATATCCCTCCTATGCACCAAGATCGAAGGCAAATGGTC